CGGATTAATGGGCATTCCCTGGCGACGATCGCTTCATCGCTATGTATCCCCTGTGCTTTTTCAAGCACGACGTCGAGCCACTTCGCGCGCGTGCGCGCCGCCGTCGAGTTCGCCAAACAAGCCTCCGCGCAGGATCGCTTCGCGACGCGTCCTCGAGCCAAGTTTTGTTGCGGCAGGATTGAAATCCTTTCGAGAGTCATCGAGGCGTCGCGTACACGGGGACGCCAGTCAACCAACTAAACTCGCAGCGCGATGAAATAGCTTTTATTCAAATTTCTAATCGCAGCCTCGTCGAAGCGCGGAGGATTAGAGAGGCAAAGGACTGGGCGATAATTTGCCCAGGCGCATCCGCCATTACCATATGGTAATTACCCAACTTCCCAATCGGCCTGGCAGCAGCAGCAGCAGCACCAGCACCGATTGCGCGCTCTGGGAATGGAGGACTTGCTTCCGACTCTGCACTCGGGGGTGTCGCTTTCCCTGCGCCGCGCCGATATAGACGTATACAGACCGGCCGAGCCGTGCGCGCGTTGTCCTCGGCACTTGACGCTACCGCTCGTTCTACGCCAATCCCTATACTCGATCGCTATCTGTTGTTCGTTTGTTCGCCCTCCCACTCGAATCTAGGAAGTCGGTACGCGCGAGGCGACGTACGACTTGATTCGATTATCCGTCTGCTCGCACGGTTTTCGCCGATGGCCTTTCATCGGAGCAGCCTGCTCGTCGGGACGCGAACGTTCGAACCTAATTAATAATTCGAATGCCCTGCCCACGGTGCGTGGCGTAGAGTGCTGGGGCGCGCAGTACCGACAAGCCGTATCGATCGATTCTAATTGATCGAATCGACGAGCCATTACTTGCCCGAAAGAAGCGAGAAGACGAAGGTGGCAAATCAAATTACTGTACGAATGGCCCGAGTGCCGGTACATATCTCCTTAATCCCGACGAACGCAGCGCGCATATAGATGCCTTAATGCCGGACATACGAGCATCGGCTGCCGCTGCTGCTGCCGCCGCTAGCCTAAACGCGCAACAATTACGCGGAGGCCGAAAATTACGAAGGGAGCATACAACGGACGTCCGAGAGACCATATAACGAATCTAGCGCCAAACTCGTGATACAGATGTGGCCTGCTCTCTGCTGACCGCAAGTACACACAGGGGGAGACAGAGCGAGAGCAGCGATGAAGACGTTAAGGAATGGAAATCGTGACAGAGCTCGTTGGTTTGATGAAGGGCTCGTTGAGTCCGTGTAATTTATGAAATCTTAGGTGTCAGAGGAGAAATACCGAAAGGGATCGGGAGGAAAAAAGGGTGAGAGGTATGGTACAGCTTAGGGCGTTGTCGTCCGAGACAAATTGTCGAACGGCGAAGCTGCGGTCTTGCCGCTACATGTGTTCGTCGAAGTTGCCTCGCATTTAGAAAACAGGATTACAGTTTGGCTGGAGGGCTTCCTTCCTACGACCTTCCCACTCCCTCTCTGTATCTGTGTGTGTGCGTGCGTGTAGACCACCTGCGCTACTGCCGTGTTCTCTCTCTCTCTCTCTCTCTCTCTCTCTCTCTCTCTCTCTCTCTCTCACCCAGTCCTATATGTACACCAAAGGGGATAGAATATGTACACGTGTGCTAATGTGTCGAGTAAATAACAACACGCGTGCACTGTATGAGCGCAATGTTTTCGCGGCGGCGAACAAATTGTCTCGGGGACTGTATGGTGAAACGTTCAAGTTTTTACTTCTTTTTCATTATTCCGCGTTAGTTCATGCGCGCTAACGCATTTTGCGATCGCGGAAACGATTTTGATGTCGTAATGTTGGAAGGCTTCGTTACCGAATAGTTCGGAAAAACCCTAATGCAGGTTGGCTTGTGAACGGATGCATATCTCAGCAACGACAATGGCTTCCGCTCGTCTCGCGTAACTTTCTCGTGCAGTCGAATGAGCTCGACGAGGATCAGCTTGTTTCTCTCTCTCCAACTCTCTTTTGAGAGGAATTACCCACGTTCCAAGTGAATTTCATTATCCTTGACAGAGAGGGAGAGAGAGAGAGAGAGATAATTATTCCATTTTTCCAAGCGATCAAATTCACTTTTTCTTGTCGGAAGAACTGCTTGCTCAATCGCGATGGTGAACAGTCAGCTTTCAATTATTGTTATTAGACTGCTAATCTGAAGTAAATTAAATGGACATGTGATACTTCCGTTTTTTTCATTTGTCACATAACCTCGGTGAAAGAATTTCTTAAACTTTTCAGAGTCTCTCGAATGTATTTGTCAAAAGAAAGAAAAACAAAAAAAAATCTCTTTCGTTACGTGAAAGCTCGCGTAATGATAAAAACTTCTTTTGATGCGTAGCCACGGTTTGTAAATAAACCGAGAGAGATATATATAAAGAGAGTTCGGAATTTTCCTACTCTCTCATTATCCGCCAGCATCAGGATAAAAAACAAAGGCTTCCGCGGTCGTTCCAACTAAATAAATTGTACGTCGGGTTGATATTCGCTGAATCAAACTGCACAGAAAAAAAACGGACCCACACAAACTGCGCGCAGACTTTGTGAATTGAGAAAAAAAAAACTGGAGTCAGCCGTTTCCATTCATGCAGCGTTATAATGAAATAATTTACGAGAGAAAATTAACTGTTAAAACCACATGTTCCGAGGGAGAGAAAGGGAGACTGAAAGAAGCGAAACTGCACATGTAAAAACGAGCCAATTGCCACACAGGTGTTACATTCCTTTGATTTTCAGCGAATGCCCAGGAATCCATGTAATTTCCAAATTACACTAGAAAAAATAAATGTTCATAGGCGTTGTTCTTTCAAAGAATAAAATGTAATACAATAAAAGAAGAAAAAAGACGATGCATTGAGAGCTACTTATTTCTCATTTCTAAACAAGTATCGTTTGATCAGCGAGCACCTATGATAAAGAGACTAGAAAACTACAATATCCAAAAAGTTCGACGCTTGTCGGAAGTACGCGCAAAAAAAAAACAATCGTAAAAGGAAAAAAACTAATGTCGTCTCGTCACTTGGTACATAAAAAAGAGGGAGATAGAAGAAGGAGCGAGGGGCAGGGGGGAGGGGGAGGAGAAAGGGGAAAGCGCTTTGCAACGCAGTTATCTAGTAGAATCGTCGAAAAGCCGCGCGCGGCCGTGCATCTGCCTCGTAAAACGTTTTGATGCCGCGTCGCGCAGATGCACAAAGTGCAAAGCCTCGTATAACGGAAAATGTACGAGTTATTTTTGGCCTGTTCGCTAGCGAGCGGAGCTATCCGCACCAAAAACTACCTCCCTTTTCGTTGCGATAACCTTTAGCTTGTCGGCCCCCCCTGCCCCTGACCGCCGACGTTGTACGCTAGACTTTCATTACACGCTCTCGCTTTTGTGTTCCCGAAGGCAGCGCGCACGGCAGCTTTTACTTTATTACAGACCCGGCAAAAGTTCGAGCCCCGCAGTTTGCGAGCTTTAAGCGTTGCACCGCGCGACCGAGCTATTTTCATTTCTTCGTAAACGGGCCCCGCGAGAAGAAGGAAGCGATGACTATACCATGAAGCTCCAATTTTTCTTTTATTTTACCGTTAATTTTGATGCGGTTCCCGGAAACGATAGTTCTGACGCCGGAAGAAAACTCGAGATATTACGGATTAATCGGTTAAATCAATTTATTCCAATACAGCAGTTTTAATTAGCGAGAAAAATAACGGCTCGAACGTGACTCATCGAGTTGGCGGAAGGGAGTGCAAAAAATTCCGAAGATTTTCTTCTTGGACCGATCGACCGATTCGTTTATCGCCTGCCGAACGAAAAGTTCACCGAAGCTATCGAGGACGCCGGTGACTGAGTGTTGCGCTGGCTGCCCCCCCCCCTGCTCCTCAACGATACTGTATACAGCGTGCAATTACCGAGTTTCCGAAACTCGAAGACAAGTCGAGAGACAAGAGAGCGGTAAAAAAGTCGACGCTATTAAAGTTTAATTAATCAATGTTTTGCAACTCTTTCACGCGCGCCTTGCACTCTTCATCTGTGCCGATAGTTTTTTGCACTCGATGATACGGAACGAATTCGCTTATTTAATTCACGCTAGACTTGACATCTGACTTACATTTCTAGCGCTTCGACGAGATAAAAATGGACGTTCACTAACAATTCAAGTGCAAGTGCGTGACGTACGTGCGCGTTAATTCGCAAATAATTTGAAATAAAATTTGTTAGTGTTCACGGTCGTGCAAGTACCGAATGATAAATCTTTGAGAATTTCATATTTAAAATGGGCAAATGATTAGAATACGATGTGGAGGAAAATCCAAACTCGCTGTTCGCCCCCAAATCTAACTACAGGGGGAAAAAAGAGATAAGAGCCCGAGAAGGGAACGCCTCGACAGCTCGGAAATGAGAATTGGTAGGGTTCGATAATCGTAGAGAATTATCCAGGCCATCCACGATTCTCACATCGTTCGGCGACAACAGCACGACCGCGCGGATATATATCCGCGAGGCACGTTTAATGCCGTACGCATGAGCGCGAAACACGCGCGTCTCCTGGAAGAGAGAGGGAGGGGGGGGGGGGGCGATCGCGGGAGAATAGAGTTAGCGCGCGAGATCGGCAGGAGAGAGGGCACGTCTCGAATTGATTTCCGAGGGGGAGGCGCGCGGCGTAAAACCGCGCGCCGCCTGATTACTTTTCGATCCGCGGCCGTGTGTTATACGTGGATCGAATGATAGCCGCGCTCAAGCAGTTCTCTCACGTATAGCAGTTCGCTCGCTTCCGATGCTCGCACTGATAACCGTCGCCGAGGATACGCAACGAGGTGTTACGACTTTTTCCATTACGCACGCTCGGCCCCGAGCGACTTTTTAATGCGTTCCCGTCTGGCCGATCGACCGAGTGCAACGAGAAAACGCGCGAGCGCGCGCCAACTCGCCGGCCGGCCGACTGCCGAGCCTTCGGTCGGCGTCTCGGACAAACGCAGACGGAAAAACAGAGGCGATACTCACTCTCGTAGCCGACGTAAATGGGCGTCCAGGTGAGCTGCGAGTGGGCGAGAGCAAACAGCAGCGGCGCCACCGCGAGCCAAGCCAATCCCTTGTGCGCCATTTCTCACTCTTTTCGTGTAAATGTGCGGCTCCGCCGTGCGCTCAGCGCTGATTCCCACTCCGCGGGCCTCTCCGTCCCGTTTTCAATCAGCGTCCTCGTCGTCGTCCTCCGCTCAATGTCATCTTCGACTGCCGCTAACGAGGTAACTCGCGCGTCGCTTTTCAATTAAGACTTCTCTCGCTGCTCCTCCCTCCCTCTCTGACTCTCTGTCTTGTGCGCTGTTTGTCACCGCAGCGAGAGGGTCGTTCTTATCTGCAAAGTAGAAAGGGTAAATGGCTTGGATTTTGCGACCGAGGCTGGAACCTCGGTATACTTGGGTCGGGGGCTCGCGCGCCCACTGCGTTTAGCTTATCGTTCGCTAGACGGTTTCGATGATTGTACTACTGATGCGAGCCTCCCGAGTCGGCCGTTCATCGCGACGTTTGCGTTTGTTCGAGTGAAAATTAATTCTCGTCGCGTCAGAATTCTCTTTCGGTGTCGACCGATACAACGAGATACAACGGGGTGGTACTTGTAGATGGAACATTGATCCCTCGGTAAGATACTCTTCTCGTGAGTGTAATTGGTTTTCCGAGAAACTAGGCCAAATGGAGAATCTAATCAACTGGCGTCGATCGCTCTATTTTCGTTTTTAATTAACAATGAAAATCCCAATAAGCTTGCCCGCGAGCTCTCGAGCAACGAGAAGCACTTGGGGCTCGCCGAACATAAATCATACCTTGAGATGCTTAACCAGAGTTGCGGAGCATGTCTGTCGAAGTCGACGGTCCCGCACTACTTCGTCAAGGCGTTGCACAACTTGGACCGGCGTGGTAGTAGAAGGAACTCAGTTGTTTGCCGAGTCGGAACGAGCCGCGAACGACGCACCGTAAGTAGCTTAACGGCACTACACTCGCCAAACTCCTTCTCTCTTCTCACGTCTTATCGGCAACGAGGCACGCCAACTGTTCCACGCCGTGGAGGAGGCAAAAAAGCCGAGGGCGCCGATCTTGCTATCAATCCAAAAATGGCTCATCGCGCGCATTTCCGCAGACGCGAGCAGCCAGCAAAATCATTTCTTGTCCCTTGGTCGGCGCGGCTCTGAAACACAAGGACGAAACGAGATAATTAATCGAAGAGCCGTCGAGAGCGACGTCGTCTACTGTTGTCGGAAGGATCTGTCGGACCGCGACATCGGGCAATCGCGGATGATCCGCGATGAAAGCGGACGGACGAAGAGCGAGGCATCGATCGTTCTGCCGCGATCGTCAACTCGATACGACAGTTTTCCTGGACTGGAAGGCGCGCAGCTGTACGTGCGCTCATATCGTCATCCGTCCCAAGAGACGGTGACGCAGCTTGACTCGAGAGCGCTTTCCTTTCTCCGACAAACCGCAGAGCAGAGGGCGAGAGAAAGAGTAGAGCGGGAAAGAAAAGCGAAACTTGGCGTGGCGCGGAGGCTGGCGGTGGTGGGAGGCGAGCTCACTCCGTTAAGTGCCGAAGCGGAGGGAAACGGAAGGAGGAGCCTCTCTCTCCTCTCTCTCCTCCTTGTCTCGGCTTCTTACGCGCCGACAGACTTCCGCGCGGAAATAATTCATTAGAACTCGACGAGGGCGAGCGAGAGGGAGCGAACGAAGAACGAAGACGCGCGATGTCCGAACGGTCCAGACCAAATTTACCCGAAGCCGACCCTCGACTCCTCCTTTGTGCCGCTGCTGGTGGCGCTCCTGGTTATTAAAGGTGCAAGACGAGAGCGAGATAACTTGCCGGGCAAAGAAAAGACAAGGTGGAAAACTGTAACGCAATCGAGTTTTCGCCTCCGCCGGGCCGCTTCTTTTTCCTCCTCGGCTAATTTAATTAGCTCGCCGCGCCGCGCCGCGCCGCCGCTATGCAAACACGAAAATTCCGCGCAACGGACAACGAGCGTCCGCATCGCGTCGAAGCTCTTGGCGCTGTCCTTATTTCTTTTTCCGTCGCTTCCTTTCTATTCTCTTATCATCCGCCGGCGGCAGCGCGCCGCTTGCCCACTTGGCCGCGCTAATTGCATCGTGTAATTAGCGCTCTTAGGCAAGTGCACAAAAGTGCGCCGGAAAGAGAGAGAGAGAAAGAGAGAGAGAGAGGGCTTTTTCCAGATTAACTTTGCCGGCTGCTTCTATCGCTAATTTGCCGCGGTAAATGCAGAGTGCGGCCAGTCCTCGCACTTTCGTCGCTTTTTATCTGCTCCGCGCGAAAATCCATTTGCTAAAGTGACGTGTCGCGAGCTCGCGCGCGCCTACAAGCCGTAATGGTAAGTCATAGGACCGCGCAAGGCAGGCAGTAAATCATAACCGCCCGTGAACCGCTGTTCACAGGCAACTCACTCGTTTCAGCACACGTGCGCCGGCCGCGCCGTGCGCCCAAGCCCGCAACAGCATTAGAATTGCACTCGCATAGGCGAGAGCACGGCAGACTCGATCAACGTCAAGTTTGCGACAAATCACGTATACCTGTATATGCGCTGCCGCCTCTCCGAGCGAATGCCAGCTGCCAGAACTTGCTACTTGTATGCGTGTTCATAAACGCACGACGATTCCGCGCGCTCTGGGGAGGACCGTTTCCTTGGCAAACTTGAGAAATTTCCGAGCAGTCGCTCGGTCGCGCCGTCGACTCTCTGACCGTGAAACGCGTGCGCAGAATACCCGAGTCTGGGAAACGAGCCTCGAAGCCGTCGGAACCACCGCGCCCGGCTTTCCGAGGGCGAATCGTCGTTCGCGATTCCGACGCGAGAGCAGAGACGAGACTCGTCTTTCGCTTGGTCGTCGTCGGGGGCCGGTTTCCTCCTGATCACGGGTCGATCTTGCCGATGTCGTCGCGGCGCGGCCGCCCTTCCCTTCATTAATTAAGCGTCAAGGGTGCGCGGCGATCGAAAAGCCGCAGGCGCAATCGTCCCGGCCACGCCAAGATATCTTCTCTCCGGCCCTCGCTCTCTCTCTCTCTCTCTCTCTCTCCCTCTGCGGCGTGTAATTATGGTCCGCGGTAATTGAAGCGCCCGCGCGTGATTCGATTAATAACCGCGACGGCGGCCGATCGCGAGCAGCGCGAGCGAAATCGGCCGATCAATCGAGGCCCCAAGCGCGGCTCGGCCGGACGGACACTCGAGCGCGGCGCGGGCAATCGCTCGGTTCGTCGGACTGTGAAAACAACGATTTTTCCGGCGCTGGCTTTGGCACGCTCTCAAAAAAGCAGCCGCGCCGACGAGGCATATCGGCCGCTGTCCAGAGAAAACACGGCTTCCAGTCCCGCATTATTTATTCGTCTCGAGGCCTGGGCGCATCTGGGATGTTCCGAGGCCGCTTCTATACGTATATGCACGTACTTACTGTTAACGCGAGAGGTTGATCGAGCGGCAGACTTTGCGCTCACACCTATCGCTTCTCCGTACGGCCATTAAACTTTCTCCTATCGGCGTGCTATTTAGCAGCTATGTGAACCTCGCTCGTATAATGCTTCATTCTTGCAGCATTTCCATATTTTTCTGATTTTCAGTCGTCTCGCCCGGACAAGAGATAAGGACGAGCTTCGAACGATCAATTAGCTAATCATATTTGGCTCGCACGTTCCAGCCTGGCAATCAAACGCAGCGCGAGCAAGAGAGATGGCAGCGCGAGCGGTAATTACGCTCGTTGCGCTTAATCAGTCTCGAGACGACGGCCGTTTGTCGGTCGTCGGAACATTCGGCTTCTAACGAAGCTTGCGAGAGAGGGGGGAGAGCGAACGTACAGCCATAATGACGTTGGCCCGCTACCCAGCCGTGAAAACGAAATTTCCACCGGACTCCCTGACCACTTTACTCGGTCCAAGTTTTCTCCGAGGCTATTGCGGCTTGCAAGTTGCCAGCTTTTTTTCGGTTTTTCCACTGGATTTTACAGTGCTACTAACAAGCTTCACTTTTATGGATCGACAGAAAGCTGTCGGGAGTCCAATGGCGCGATCGATTGTTGCAAAGACAGCAAGAGAAGGTACATTGCAATTTTCATAATTTAGTAGCCGGTGTTGGTGGCCATTACGTGCTGCCGCCTCCCGTCTCGTACGCAAAGCGCCAGTAATAAACTAAAAGCACGTCCGACGCTTTGAGAGGAGAAGAACGAGTCACCGAGGAGACATCGAGAGCTTTCGCGCTTCCACTGGCCCTCGATCTCGTTGCCTCGAGATGCGCAAAGTCTAGACTGGTAGAGTGCAGTCACAGTTTCCCTTATTTTGCCTTTTCTCGGTGGATTCACCGATTCACCGTCGCACTGGCAAAACGCGTATTTCCGAAAAATGTCTTTCCAAGCAAATGACACTCCCATGCAGGTAAGCTCGAATTCTCGAATGGAATCCTGACCAGCCGCCGAAGGAGTTTAATCGATTTGTCGTGGCGCACTCGAGATTACTGGAGCCAATTTGCCAAGAGCCGGGGAGCGCGAAACAAGTCGCCTAAAAGTTGCAGCGAAGAGAAAGTTCGCGCGTCGTCATTTCTTCCGATCGCGCGAGGCACGCGAACGTTTTTCCTTCGGCGAGTTATTGGACGTGCCTTTAATCGGCGGAGTTGGCTTGATGATTGGATTTTCTATCTGGTGTGCTCTCCTTCTCTCGCGCGTTCAGAAATATGTCTCGAAATTGCGCAAGTTATTTGTCAGCGAAGATTTAATGAAAGTCTGCAGATGACGTTTCGCCAACTTGATAATTGCTATCCTTTCGAGAGTTTCGCTCGGTTCCGCGACTCCCGCGGATTGTTCCCGAGCAAGCCCATTCAATCTCCTTTGATGCGTTCGATGCATAAAATATTCATCTCCCAAAGTACTCAATTTCGGCGCAACTCCGCGGCGAGACGAGCAAAACATAAACAAAACAAAAACAAAACAAAAACAAGAATGAAGCAAACCGGCGAATAATCGATAGTAGGAAAACTCGGGCGCGCGAATGAGCGCAGGCGGCGCCTTTGCGAAACCGTCAAAAGAATTGGAAATGCGAGCCTTTGTGTACGCAAATTAATACGCATCTTGGCCGGGGCCCGAGAGGCGGCGCGGGGCGTGGCGTTGCAGTCGCGGTGAAAAACGGCCGAGGTAACAAAGCGTCGCAGTCGCGAATCGATCGAGAGCCGTTATTAATCACGCCTCGCGCCAGATGACTTTGCTCTCGCTCTGTCTCTTTTCCGCGCCGCTCGTCGCGCGCTTTTTAGCCTCGCGCGCCGATTTTTCGCGCTCTCCTTTCTTCCCGCCGTTCGCGCTCGCGTGAAAAACTCGCCAGTTTTTTGCCGCGCGGCCTGACGCGACGCTGTTGCGACAAATAGGCGCGCGGAAAATCCGCTGCCCGTAGGCTTGCGGACCGCTGGAAACGACATTTTTTCTTTCTCTCCCCGTGCGTTTTTGCGAATCGACATAGAAAGCTCGTACGTTCGAGCTGCATTCTCGCGACACATCTCACACGAACAATGTCGAATTTCCGGCGACTCGATCAAGATAGCGAGATCGGTGAAAACTTGCCCTTGTAAATTTGTGGGCTTGCGCGGGGCCGAGTTTGTATCGAGGCTATAATGCGACGCGCCACGGAAGCTTCGCAGCGGAGCTTATCCGCAGGACGGTCTAGATCCTGGCCATCCGTAGCGGCTTTGACGTTAATCGAACGGGCATACGGACCTACAGTTTAGCCCTCGGGACTCGATCGTTCGCACCGGTCACCGCCGACCACGGAGGCGTTAATCGTTTGTTGTCTACGCTGCCAATAGACTCGTCCATGTATTGCGGGCCGCTGGCCCGGCACAAAGAACCAAGCAGGAAGAGGAATGATAAAATTACGGCAGTTGCCAAAAAAGAGGTTCCACTTTGATTTGGCGCGCGAAACAGGACGAGCGCATTAAAGCGCGATGCTCGCTCGACCATTACACCATTTCGCTGGCGAGCAAATGGACGGATTCTCATGTTAGCTACGGAGCTGTTTACGAGCCCGCGCGGATTTCACATACGCGTACGCTGCGCATAAAGGGAGAGAGAGCCTCCGATGACCGTCGACGTCTTTACGCTCACAATTATTCCATCGGCTCGCGATACGGTGGCCGCTCCCTCCGAGGTTTGTGAGCTACG